GGGGGGGGTATAAAAGGAGAAAACAGATGTCTAAGTAGAAAGAGAGAAGAGGGATGAAAAGAGGTAAGAAAGTAAAGGAGAAAGATGCCCACAGCCCCTTTCCATCCCGGCCCGGGAAGATGGACACGAACGAGCATTCTGCCGATAGGAGGGGGCGATAAGGGCCCTGACGCGCCTCCTTTGAGCGCATGGGCGCCGGCGGCAGCTCGTCCGCACCGAGCGGCTTTGGCGTCCTCGACGACGACGACGACGAGTGCGTTGCCTCCTCGGTGCAGCTCTCTCGCTTCCGCCGCCCGCCCTCCACGCCTTCAGTCGTGGCCTTGAGTCGTGACGCGGCCGCGCTCCGTCTCGCAGGTCCAGCTCTCGCTCAACTGCCCTCTGACGCGGCTGCGGATCGGCACGCCCGTGCGCGCGGCCGGCTGCTCGCACGTGGAGTGCTTCGACCTCGACGCGTGGCTGCAGTGCCAGCGCGCCGCCAAGCTGCCCAACTGGCTCTGCCCCATCTGCAGCTCGCCCGCCTCGCCGCCCGAGCTGCGCGTCTGCTCGTGGATGCAGTCGGTGCTCGCGGGGACCGCCGAGACGACACGCGAGGCGAGGATGCAGCCGAGACCTCGCCGAGAGAGAGAGCCGAAGCACCCGAGAAAAGGGGCGGGAAAATAGCCGAGATCGAGCATATCCGAGCAGCGCCCGGGGCGGACGCCTCATGGACGGCGCCTCCTCCACCCCCCAGCCCCCACCCCCGTGCACGTGCGCGACAGGTGATCATCCAACCCGACGGCTCGCACGCCGCGCCTGAGCCGTCGTCGGCCGGAGGCTCGGAGAGGCGAAAGCGGCAGCGCGCGGCCTCGGTCAGCCTGGACGAGCCAGCGTCGCAGGCGCCGCAGGCGTCGCAGGCGTCGCGCGCGGGCGACGACGAGGAGAACCCGATCGAACTCGGCGACAGCGACGACGACTAGCTAGGCGCGGCGGGACCGGAAGAAGCATGGGAGACGGTCGACGTGGGCGGTGCGGCGGCACCGGCTGCCCAGTCCTCTCCCCCCCGTTCCTGGGCTCCCTGTCAGAGTCGTACTTCAAGACTCCGATCAACGCCGATCCCCGTTTCCTTTTTTTCACGTTCCTGTATGAAACACGTTCGCGAAGTTGATTTTGAAAAACACACATAGATACACGTCACATAGCTCATTATACGAGAGTTGGCAGTTGCACTCAGCACCGGAGCACCCCCGGTGCCGGGAGTCGGCCCCCCCCGGCTCCCGCCGCCGCCCCCGCCGCCGCCACCGCCGCCGGCGCCCCCGCCGCCCCAGCCGTCCCCGCCCCAGCACCCGCCGCTCCTGCCGCCGCCGTCCTCGCCAGATGTCGGACTGGGCCTCGGCTCGGGGCCAGGGAGCGAGCCCATCGAGTCGCCTTCGGTGGCGACAGCTAGGAGGGCGCGCAGGAGGCGCGCTAGTGTACTCGGGTTTGGATGGTAGCGGGGGGGCCCGCCGGAGGCGTAATTACTGATACAAGTTTGACCGCCGACATGTCGCGGTCCGGCTCAGTCAAGGCAATGTCGCTCGGCGCTCGCTGGCTCCGTGGATGCTTGTGCTGCTGAGCAATCCAGGCGCACTTTGGCACCCGGCGGCAACGACTTGCGGCGTCAGCATTCGAACGGTTGTGTTGATTTGCTCTTGCTCCCCGCGGTATCTAGCCGGCGCGCTCCGCGCGGGTGTCCAGCTAGCGCGCTCCGCGCGTATGTCCAGGTAGCACCAGCGCGCTCCGCGCGCACCATATCTCAGTGCCTATGCTTATAGCCACTAAAAGCTCGTTTCTGCAGCTTGGGGGTGTAGTCGTCTCCGACGTCGTGTGGTCCGTCTCGCTCTCCGAGCTCTTGGAGGTCTTGCCTCTTCGCGAGCAGCGCGGGGGGAGGACCGGGCGGGGGTCCGGGGAGCGGGGACAGCGCGCTCCGCTCGCGGCGAGGCACTCGCGCGGGATAATACGATCGGATCGATCGACATTGCTCACCCACGGCCACGCGCACTGGACCTTGCACGTTTAATGCCGTCGGGTTTAACCCAAAAAGACACGTTGGTTTGTCCCCATTAATGGCGACACGCCGGATAGATCTAGAGCGCGACACGCTCACGGAGCCACACGCGCGCACCGTTCCACACGCCGCGAGGACGGGGGGGGGCACCTGGTGGGACGAAGGAGGGTTGGAGGACGGCGGAGGAGACTCATACCAGCAGCGGAGGGCGCGGGCAGCGCCTCTTCGGTGGTCTCGCCGAGGACCGCTCGCACCCCCCCCAGCCCACTCGCACTCCCACCCGCCTCACACTTCGTCCTTGACCTGGAGGTAAGGCCCACCCCTGTGGTCCCTTAGGTGTTCCTTGAGCTCTGCCGGGCTTGGCATGCCCAAGAGCTCTGGCAGTCCAGGCTGGAAGCGGGCACGGTGGAAGACCTCGCTGCTGATGGTCGAATCGCCGTCCACCGTGACGAGCGAGCCGGACGGCCAGAGTGTGCTATTGTCCGCGATGTGCGCGATCACCTTTGCAATTTCTCTCGGATGGCCCGCTTTCTCCTTGTGGTAGGGGTTGATCCTGCGCCACCACAGCCGTGGCGGTCCATCTTGAGCGCGCGTGAGCGTGTGAGTGTGAGTAGGTGTGGGCGAAGGACTTGGCGCGTGCACAATGCGCAGGAGAGCACAACGCGCGGCGGCGAGCGCACATGGCAGCGAATTGGTTCAGGGATCCCCGCTCGCCAAGAGTACCAAGGCTCATCTCCGACTCGTAGAGAGCTAAGTTGAGGCTGTAGAGGCGGATGCCATGCCTAGCAAACGCGCCGGCGCCAACGTTCGCGATTGAGTCGAGACCCGCCTTTGAAGCCGCATCTGGCAGGACGACAGGGAGTGCACGCCGAGTTGAGATGCGCTTGAAAGCGGGACGGGGGGGGCGGCGCACGCACATGCACTTATTGCTGTCATTTGCTCATAGGCTGCTCCTGTGACCTTGTTGAAGTACGCAGCTATGGAGGAGGTGAAGACAACAGCGCCACCGCCTCGCCTTTTCAGCGCGGGCAGCGCATACTTCAACGTGAGCAGGCCTGAACCAATGAGATTTACGGCCACGTTCATCGCAAGCTGCTCGTCCTCGGCGGCTTCGAGCTCGTCCTCGCCCATTGAGAAGCTGCCCGCATTGGCAAAGACAAAGTCGAGGCCACCAAAGATCTCCTCTGCCAGAGTCACTGCGGCCTTTAGCATGTCACCCCTGCGCACGTCGCAGCTTGCAACCACTGCTCGGCCCCCTGCCTCGGTGATTTCCGTCACGGCAGCGTTGAGGCGGTCGGTGCGGCGAGCCGCGAGCACGACGGCCGTGCCTTGGGCGGCCAGGTACTTTGCAGCCTGGAGGCCGATGCCGCTCGAGGCGCCAGTAACAAGGGCAACCTGTTCGTTCAGCGGACGCACTGCGGGCCTGTTCGCCGTCGCAAAGGGCGCCGCCAACAGCGCAGGCAGCAAGACGCTGCTCCCGCGCATTGCGGAGTGCGTGTCGACAAATGAGAGAATTGGTTTGCGATATTCATTCACGGCGAGTTCATCGCAAAATACTTTAGGCAATGGCGCGCACTGGCACTAACACAGCTCGACTCTACACTAGTTTTTAAGGTCGCTACCGGCAATGTGGGTGGGGATGTTGGCCTACTCAAACAAATGGCCTGCCTGCAATGAATGCCTACCTACCTATCTTTTGTACCTTACTTAACTTGTAGAGTACCAGGGTACCTTAAGGGTGTGTGGTTATTAAGGTATGTCGTGGAGTGAAAAGTTCTCGATGAGGTGGGGATCTGTGGTGAGCAGAAGATTCCTAGATTCTCCAGATTCGCCTCGAAAACCGCCCCTTTTAAAATCTGCTGTCGCGTCTCATTGTCCGATCCCGGCCGCTTGATCATGGGAGCTAGGGTGAGACAACAGGTCGGGGTGCCACACGGCGCACACCACAGGCGCATTCTACATGGGGAAAAGAAACGGGGAGTGAGGGGCGCCGCCCGGAGAAGTGCGTTTTGGGGATGCAGAGCGTGCAAGGCGGCTAGGGATGAAGCCGCAAAAGAGGCGCGCGAGGCAAGGAGGAGAAACGGAGAACGGAGAGGTTGGGACGATTCGACACAAGAGGACACTTAAAACAAAAAATAAAGTGCGACGGCATCCACCGAGGTTCACCGCCGGATCTCTCTTTGGCGTATGTCGAAGATGCGCACCGGACTCACCGCCGAGGTCGGCCCCACTCTCATCACGGTGATGAGCAACGGCGCGCCGAGTACGGACGCGAAGAGCGGCGATGGCGGGGCGGTTCGCGACGGCGGTCGCGATCGCGCGATGAGCCGCGGCGGGATGAGCTGCGACGGCGCGACGAGCGTTGGCAAGGCGAGCAATGGCCGCACCATGACGGGCGGCATGACGAGCGGCGCGGCTACAACGACTCTTGGTGCAGTGGCCGCGAGCAGCGATGGCACGCTGAGCCACACGCCGCTGAGCGATGGCGCGACGAGCCATTGCGAGGCGAACGACGGCCGCATCATGACGGGCGGCACGTTGAGCGGCGCGGCTGCAACGACCGACCAAGCATAGGCGAGCGCGAGCGCGACTTGTGCGATCGGCGCGATGATCGGTCCCACGATCCCAGGCGCGACCATGTCCGGCGCGACCGCCGCGGCGAGGGGCAGCCCCAGCACAGCGACCACCGGTTGCGTCCGCCGATGCGTGGTGCGGGGTCGCGCGACGAGAGGCACACCTCTGCTGCCAGTGGTCAGCTCAACGCTAAGCAGCTCAGCAGCCACATCTCGCATGCCAGCGGCGCCGACGAGCTGCTCACGCTCTTTGCTGCCCACAGCGCGAGCATGGACCACATCCACGCTGCGAACCTGTGGAACAAACTGGGCAAGCAGCGCATCGAGCGGCGGCACGAGGGGCGGCTTGAGCAACTGGTGCAGCGCACGCTCGACCTCGTCTCTTCGTGCCGAGCACGCGAGCTGGCCAACGTGTCTCACGGCGTTGCAAAGTGCGGCCTGCAGGCGAGGGTGGTGCACCCGTTGTTCGTAGCGGTGGCGGAGGCGGCGGTGCGGAGCGGGCTGGCTGGCTTCAAGCCTCAGAACCTGTCCAACACGGTGTGGGCGTATGCGACGGCGGGCGTGCCTGCGGACGCGCTGTACGCGGCGGTGGCGGAGGCGGCGGTGCGCGGCGGGCTGGCTGGCTGCAACCCTCAGGGCCTGTCCAACACGGTGTGGGCGTATGCGACGGCGGGCGTGGCTGCGGACGCGCTGTACGCGGCGGTGGCGGAGGCGACGGTGCGCGGCGGGCTGGCTGGCTTCAACCCTCAGGACCTGTCCAACACGGTGTGGGCGTATGCGACTGCGGGCGTGACTGCGGACGCGCTGTACGCGGCGGTGGCGGAGGCGGCGGTGCGCGGCGGGCTGGCTGGCTTCACCCCTCAGGACCTGTCCAACACGGTGTGGGCGTATGCGACGGCGGGCGTGGCTGCGGACGCGCTGTACGCGGCGGTGGCGGAGGCGGCGGTGCGGAGCGGGCTGGCTGGCTTCAACCCTCAGGGCCTGGCCAACACGGTGTGGGCGTATGCGACTGCGGGCTTGGCTGCGGACGCGCTGTACGCGGCGGTGGCGGAGGCGGCGGTGCGCGGCGGGCTTGCTGGCTTCAACGCTCAGGACCTGTCCAACACGGTGTGGGCGTATGCGACGGCGGGCGTGGCTGCGGACGCGCTGTACGCGGCGGTGGCGGAGGCGGCGGTGCGGAGCGGGCTGGCTGGCTTCAACCCTCAGAACCTGGCCAACACGGTGTGGGCGTATGCGACGGCCGACTATTATCACCAGGCACTGCTTGCCGACTACTCGCGCGTGATCAGCGACTCGCTCGCGCGGGATCCGTGGAGGTGGAGCGAGGAAGCCCGCCGTCAGCTGCACCAGTGGCAGCTCTGGCTCTCCCTTGAGCGAGGAGCAGACGGGCAGCAGCACCTCCTCTCCGAGCCCCAGCGCAAGCTCTGCTGCGACGCCATGCAAGGCACCGAAGTTACGATCTCGCGCTTACAGCGCTCCGTCGCGATTGCCCTCGCCCCGCCGTCCAGCACTAAGGAGGAGCATCTCGAGCCGCGCACCGGCTACTCGCTCGACCTATCGCTGCCCTCGTCACGCCTCGCGATCGAGGTGGACGGCCCCTCTCACTTCCTGCTGCCCGACGGCCGGGGCGTGCGCAAACCCACTGGGCCAACGCTGCTCAAGCAGCGCCTCCTCAGGGCGGCTGGCTGGAGGGTGATCAGCGTTCCATTCTACGAGTGGGACGGCTTCGCGACAGCCAATGGGCAGCAAACCTACCTGGAGAGGGCGGTCGCCCCGCTGTTGGGCTAGTACTGTGCACACTGACTGTTCTCAATTGGGGCGGCTCCCGTGGTGTACCTGTGTGTTAGTCGGCCAGCGCCAAACCCGTGTGCGTGTTCCGTGTGTTAAATCCTTTACTTGGGTTGTTCGTTTCCTTCTTTCTCTCTTTCTGTCCTACCTAAATTTCTGCCTCGCTCCCTTGTGGATTCTTGTTTTTTTATTCTGGCGCCAGTCCAGGGGAGGGATGGGAGGACGGCACGCCGCCACCACACAGGTTGTCTGCCGATCGAGCAGGGGCCGCCCTCGAAAAGAAGAAACACGCGAATAGCGCGAGAGACGTGACGGAAAAAGGAAAGGACGCGGCTTCCTTACTTCGCGTTAGTTTCGTGCGCAACACGCCCGAGCTGCTCGTGGGGAGCCTGCCCTCGCTGTGCTTTCGGATCGAGTCTGCTTCAGCCTGATGGCGACGCCTAGTGACAAAGAGGTCCAGCGATTCCTCAACGAACGCCTCCAGTCGATGCACGGCTTGCACGAGTTCCAAAATGCATGCCCGAACGCACGCTGGTGCTGGGCCGGCCTGCAGCAGATGCCACAACTTGGCGGTATCACAACAAAGCTCCTCGACCATGCGTTTGACAAGTGCTACTGTCCACAGTGTGCGACATGCGACCCAGACGCGGATATTCGCACTCGCGATGGCTGGGTGCGTTTCGGATTGCAAGTGGAGGAAGGTCGGATGCTCGCACGCGGCACATGGATGTGGGACAAAGCATTCCACGGCACGAAGGCAGCATCTATTGAGAAAATCATCGAGACGGGGTGCCTCCTCCGGCCTGGCAGCTTCACATCCACCGGCTACTTCATCGACGTGCGCGACGGTCACATCGACGGCGGCTTCTATCGTGACAAATCGGTGGACAAGCCGCTGCGGGAGGGACGTGCCGGCTTCGCAACTCCGAAGACGTTCATCGGCAAGGTTCGCGAAGAGTTTGATCCTCGCCGCCTGCTCTTCGTCACACCGAGTGTGGCCTATGCTGCGGACAAGGTCTACGCTCAAGAAGTCACGCTGAGCGACGACTCAAAGATCACGGTACTTCTCGAAATTCGCATGAAGCCTGGTTTCTACGACGTTGGACCGAGCACCGTCAGACACTCTGTGTACGACCCGAAGATTGATGAGGAGGAGATGGAGTGGTATACTGATCGCTGTGGCGTCCATATGATCACCGGCCTGCTTGTGCGGCGGAAATCGGCGCCTACTTCGATGCTTGCACGCGGCCTTGCAGCACTTGGTTTCTATGAACCACCTCATGGCCACCAGCTCAATGAGGTCGACTACCTGCCTGGTAATGAGGTTGACTACCTGCCTGGTGCCACGGTTGATATCAAAGAAATGCTGAGCACGCTGGAGAATCCACAAACGTGTGCGCTTAAGTGCCCGTCCAGCATGATCTGCTGGGCAGCTCTGCAGACACTCAAGGTGAATCCTCTCTTCTTCGACCATCGCTTCGACGAGTGCTTCTGCGACGAGTGCTGCGCCAGCCGCTGCGAGAAAGCCGCCTATGCTCGTGGAGCTTCTCTTTACGTCACCCCAAAAGGTTGGGTTGGCTTCGGCTTGCGGCATCACGCGGGGTGGCTTGGCGCAATCCGTGTCTTTGAGGACTGGCATGTCGCATACCACGGCGTCGTCCCCGACGATCTCAAGACAGTCATCGAGGCCGGTGCCCTGCTGTTCCCCGGTGATGCTGACCATAATGGTCGTGCGATCAAACCCCGCGACAGCGGCGAGCGCGAGGGACGGGCGATGCGAGGGGGGCGCACATCACCAGTGGCCCTCGACGACGAAGACCGCAAGATCCGGCAGCACTCAATCTTTACATCGCCCTCGCCTGCCTACGCAGGATCACCTGTTTACGCCAAACCGTTTCAGTATAACGGCTGGCGCTTCCAGGTGGTCTTGATGGCGCGTATTAAACCCGACAGCTATCGCGTGGCCGCGTCAACGCTCACCGATACGCCAAGAGACCCCTACGTGAAGGAGAGCGAAATGGAATGGTACACCCCACGTCACGGCTGCATCGTTCTCAGCCGCATTCTCGTTCGTTGCTTGGGACGCTCATCGTAGCTTTCTGCTTGCGTTCTTTCTACAAGACAATGGTGGAGTGTTTGTTTGGAGTGTGTACATCGTGCTTCCTAGATAGCTCCCTTTCTTTTTTGCGACCACCGCATCGAGAGAGCCAAGCACGCGAGCCACCCAACGTAGATGGAAGTTAAATCACCGGCACCCTACTCCTTAGAGCATGAACCCAGCCTGAGCGCGGCGTGGCCTGCTCGCGACGGAGGAGCTGGTCATGGATCCGGCGCAGCAGCAGCACATCGAGAGCGCCGTCGCCGCCTTCTATTCCGGGTCGCAGGAGCAGATGGCGGCCGCCGACGGCGCTCTCTCTCAGGTGCGCGCCCAGTGGTGGGACGCCGGCCCGTGGCGGCTGCTCGAGGCGCTCTGCCTGGCCAACGCCGCGACACCGACCGTGCTCTGGGCGAGCGCGCTGACCGAGCAGTGGCTGCGGCGCCGCTGGCGCAGGATCTCGGAGCCGGACCGCGCCAGCTGCCGCCTCGCCGCCGTGCAGCTCGTCATCGGCGCTCAGCAGAGCCGTGGCTCGGGCGGGCGGAAGCGGCCATCCCTCTCCGAGAACTCGCTCAAGTCGTCCAAGCTCGAGCACCTGCTCGCCACGCTGCTGCGCGCCGACTGGCCCTCGGGCTGGCCCTCGTTCGTGCCGGACCTTGTCGCGGCGCCAGAGCCGAGGGTGTGGTGCGAGACCTCCTCACACCGGCCTGTGACGCGTCCGTGCCACGCCCGCAGGCGCCGCAGCTCGACGACCTCGCTCGGCTGCGCATCCTGCTGCTGCTCGCGGAGGAGGTGGGCGGAGGCGGCGGAGGCGGCGGAGGCGGCGGAGGCGGAGGCGGAGGCGGCGGGTGCCGAGGTGCGGTACGCGCAGTCTTTGCCGCAGCCGGCGCGGAGCAGGCTCGCGCGGTGCTCTCTCTCTGCCAGCGAGCCGTCGGGTCCGGTGCGGAGGCGCCCGCCGGCATCGCCGCCGGAGAGGCGGTCCGACTCGGACTCGGGGTGATGTCGCGCCTCTCCGCCGCGCGTCGAGGACCCGAGATGGCGCGAGATGACCCGAGATGACCCGGTTCAGGTGATGTCGCGGCTCGCGGCCGCGCTGCCGTCTGACCTCCTCCTCTCGCCCTCGCTGCTGGCGCCGCTGCCTCCGCTGCTCGAGCGGTACCGCTGCCCCGTGAGCCACCCGCTCGCCGAGGCTACAGCAGTATCGCGCAGACCCAGTCAGAAGAGCGGCTCTCGGCCCAGGTGCTCAAGCTGCTCGCCGAGGCTTGCCGCACGCAGGCGCCGCCCGCCGCCTAGACCCTTCCCAGACCCCTCTTCGACCTCTTTCCTGCACGTGTCCCGCAGGCGCCGCCCGCCGCCTCGCCACACGCGCTGGCGGCGCTTCACGGCTGCATGCGCGACGCCCTCGACGCGCTCGCGCCCCGGCTGCCGGAGACACTGCTGCGCGCGCTCGGTAGCTCGCAAGACACGGGCGCGTGGAAGTGGAGCGAGGCGCAGCTCGACGACCTCGCCGACTGGCTCGCCAGCCTCTGGAGCCGGCAGCGCGCCGCCCTCGCCGGCTCCGCGGGCGGCCTCTCCCTGCTCCGCGACGCGCTCGCGCTGCTCTCCGCCCTCGGCGACGCCGCACCGCGCTGCTCAGAGAGGGAGCGCATCTGCATCGACCACGCCTGCGCCCTCGCCGCTGACGCGCGCGCCTCGTCGGACGGCGCGGACCCGGCCGCCGCCGCCGCCGCCGCGCAGCTGGCGGGCGCGTTGGGTGGCTCGCTCGAGGGCGCGAGGACTTGGGCGGCGGGCATGCTCTGCGCGCGGATCGGCAGGCCGGCGGGGATGCTGCTGTGGGTGGCGCCCGACGAGGGGGAGGAGGAGGAGGACCCGGACGTGTCGGAGGAGCTGCCCACCGAGGCGAGGTGTAGCCGAGATGTAGCCGAGGTGTAGCCGAGCCGCAGGCGAGGTGTAGCCGAGATGCAGGCGAGGTGTAGCCGAGATGTAGCCGAGATGCAGGCGAGATGTAGCCGAGATGCAGGCGAGGTGTAGCCGAGATGCAGGCGAGGTGTAGCCGAGATGCAGGCGAGGTGTAGCCGGAGAGATTGAAGCTTCCCACCGCGAAGCTCCTCCCCCCCCCCCCCTCCCAGGCGAGCGCGACGGGTGACGAGGAGCACGCCGCCGCCGCCACCGCGCTCAAGTGGCTTCTCGCGACGCAGCCGCCCGCCGCCGCCGCCGCCGCACAGGAAGGTGTCCTGGCGCGCCTCGCCGCGTGCGTCTCGCAAGGCGCGCCCGGCCTCGGCGGCCTCTGCCAGTCCACCTGGTCGCTCGGCGTGCTCCTCAGTGGGTCGGCGGACGGGGACGGCGCGGCGAATGGCGCGGCGAGGCTCTTCGGGGCGCGCGCTATCGACGGGCTGATTCGTGCTGCCGAGTCCGCCGCCGAGCCGTCGCGGCGCGTGCTCACCGCGTGCGCCGAGATGCTCGTGGCGGAGGCGCCGCTCTGTCTGGGCGGCGGCGACGCGGCCTTGCTTCGCCGAGTCGTGACGGCGGCCTTCGAGTGGCTGCGCGACAGCTCCGAGGCCATCCCCGCGCATGCCGGCCCACCTCGTGATCATTGCCAAGAATGGAGACTCAGCCCTCAACCTGCCATCAACTAGGCAATCTCGCGCATGGCGGCCGCCGCGCTGCGCTCGCTGTGCGGCTGCGCGCCCCTCGCCCCCGCGTTTGTGGCGGGCGAGGCCCCGCTGCTTCCCTCGCTGCTGGCGGCGCTTCCGGCCGCCCTCGACGCCGCGCCGCCGGCGGAGCCTCAGCTCCTCGCCATCCACGAAGCCCTGGCGCACTGCGTCGCCTCTGCGCGCGGCTCGGGCGCGCTGCCCCCCCTCGAGGCCAGACGAGCGCTTCCTCCGCGCCTGCCCTCTTCTTGAGTGGCGGCCTTTCTCTGAGAGTAGGCGCGCTGCCCGCCGAGGCGGAGGCTGCCTGCGTCGGCCAGCTGCTGTCGCACGCGACGGCGCGGTGGGAGCGCCTCGCTAGCTACGTGGCGAGAGCGAGCCTAGATGCGGAAGAGATGCGGGAGAGGGACACAGTGTACAAAGAGACAACACAGTGTACACGTGTTCCGGCTAGCACTCGAGGGGACGCGTACTCGCCTGTGTTCAGCTGCATTCGTGGCCCGCGTATTCGTGCGTGTTGAGATGCGCTGAGTGCGCTGCACGGTATCCACACGGTATCCACACCCCGACTGGCGCGTTACTGCCGTAGGCGAGCGTGCCCGCGGGATCCTTGCCGGAGGAGTCGGCGCTGGTGCCGGCGGCGCGGGAGGCGGCGCTCCTCCTCCGCATCTACCGCCGGCTGCTGGCGCCGTTCGGAGCGGCGCCTCTGCTCCCTCTCGTCGAGGCGCGGCACGACACGCTGCTGCGGGTCGCCGAACTGGCTGGCGGCGGCATCGCCGCGCGTGTACCCGCGTCTGCGACCGCGCAGCAGCTGCGCAACGCAACAGGTGCGGCGGCGCCTCACACAACGACACGATACCCGGGCCCCGAATCACACGCACGACGGCCAAGGGCGGGGCCAAGGGCGGGGCCAAGGGCGGGGCCAAGGGCGGGGCCAAGGGCGGGGCCAAGGGCGGGGCCAAGGGCGGGGCCAAGGGCGGGCTCACGGCAACACACGTGTCGGCGCAGTCACACACGCGCGAGCGGCAATAGCCAAAAGCGCGAGCCCGCCTCTAGAGCAGCAAAGGCCCCGCAGCCTCGCGTGGCATCTAGCTAGCTCGCCCCCTCTGTACTCGGCGACAAACGCCAACCTGCAGAGGCTGAGTCTGCAGAGACCGGAGACCGGAGACCGGCGAGGGGAGAGGGGCGAGGGGCGAGGGGCGAGGGGCGAGGGGCGAGGGGCGAGGGGCGAGGGCGCCCGTCCCTTAGGCTCGCTCGCCCTCAAGGCTTTGCTCGCCGCGCGCTCGGAGCTCCTCTCTCTGCTGATCGACCTCTGTGACGCGGGCGGTGCATCTCCGCACTCCATCAGCCTGCCGGACGCCACCGAGCGCGCCGCCGGCCTCGCCACGCCCTTTGTCGGGGCGCTGCTGCCCCGCTTTGCCGCCGAGTCGCCGCCGCTCCGGCCGCCGCAGCTCACTCAGCTCACGGGTTCGCTCCTCCGCCACGCCGCCGCCTACCGCGCCTCGCACTTGCCAGCCGCCGGCCTCGAGCAGGCGCGCGCAGTGCCAACGAGCTTCAAGCCCCCGAGCCACTTCCCCCCGCCCCATCGTCCGTTCAAGCGCAAGCGCTGCAGCAGTTGCCCCCCCCCCCCCCCCCCTCCCTCCCTCCCTCTCCCTCCCTCTCGCCCCATCCTTCAATCCGGCGCGGTTGCCTCCCCTTCCCTTCTCACCCCTCGCGGCCGGCCCCCCGCAGGGCCTCTGCCTCGTCCTCCGGCCTGCTCTCGAGGTGGCGGCGCTCGCCGAGTCCGCACACCGCACCGCCGACCCCGCGGCTGGCGGACAGGCCGCCGCCGCCGCCACCGCCGCCGCCGCCGGCGCTGGCACCGACGAGGCGGCGGTCCGCGCGCACTCGGCGGCGCACGCCCTCGCCGCTGTCGGGCTGGTGAGGGAGGTGGCGGCGCAGCGGCCGGACGCGATCCCGGCGGCCACCGACGCGTTGCGCGAGCTGCTTGCGAGCGCCGTGCTCCGCGCCGTCTCGCAGCCCTCGCCGAGCACCAAGCTCACGGCGGAGGCGTGCGCGGCCTTGCGCCCCTTCACCACTCCTCCTCCGCTTCTACCACCTCTCTGCACGCCCCCTCCGCCCCTCCCGCCCCCTCCCGCCTCCCCCACCCCCTGCTCCGCCCTGAGCCCCTCCGCCTTTTCCTGCGCACAGCCCCCACCACCGCAACGCACGCAGGGCATCCACGCCTTGCGCGCCCTGGCCGCCGCAAACGCCTTGCCCGCCGGCGCGCAGCCCGCCATTCTGCGCGCGCTGCGCTTCACGCTCGCAGCGGTGCGCAGAGCGAGCGCGCGGTACTGCCCGGCAGCCTCCCCTCGGCGACCCCCCCTGGCGGTGGCCCGGCTGTAGGTTCAGTCGACGCGCGAGCTGCGCTCTCTCTGCGCGTCGCTGGGGCTGGCGGAGGAGGGCGGGAGGGCGGAGCTGCACGCCCGGCTACTCGGCCTGAGCGCGGCCGATTTCGAGGCGCTGCACGCGGCGGCAGGGCCCGAGTCGGAGGCGGAGCACGAGGCGCTCTGGATGGATGACGGCGAATAGTGCAGACGAGGGAGGCGGGGCGGGGGTGGAGAGGGCTGTCTGGCGTGGCGGCTGGAGCGCACAAGAACCACCCTTTTCACGCGGTTGCCGAGCCCGGTGCGACACAGGACGATGACGTTCTTATTATATCTCCGCGTGTTGTGCATGCCATGGGTTGGTGGTCTTTTGCTGGTCTACGCGCTACGTACAAGCCCTGCCAAATACGGCCAGTGAAGCAGAACAGTTTCTCACTACACACGACAAAGCGCCGAGGACGGGCCTCGCCCCCGCCCAGGGCTCAGGCGTCAGGCCTCGTCGGCAAACTCGAGCTCGTCCTCCTCGTCGTCCTCCTCGTCGTCCTCCTCGTCGTCCTCCTCGTCGTCCTCTTCCCCGGCCACCTCGACCTCGTCGCCGTCGTCGATCTCGCTGTGCGCCCCCGCGCCCGCCTCCTCGTCCTCCTCGTCCTCGTCCTCGTCGTCGCCAAAGATGCCAATTGCGGACAGTGCGAAGCCGCCGCCCGCGCCGGACGGGAGGGCTGCGGGCAGACTCCCGCCGCCACCAGCCGCGCCCGGCGGCGCCCTCGGCTGCACCGCGTCGGCCGGAGCCGGCGCGGGCGCGGGCGGCGCGTCCTCAGCCTGCTCCGCCGCATCGGTCTCCATCTCCGCCTCCCCGTCCCCGTGTCCCTCTTCCTCTGCGTCTCCGTCTCCCTCGGTCCCCCCGTCCCCGTCCCCCCTCCCTCGCGCCTCCTCCTCCTCCTCCTCCTCCTCGCCCGCCGCCGCCCCGCCCGCCTCCCCGCCCCACCCGCCGCCGCCGGCCCCGCCCACCTCCTTTGCGAGCCCGCGCATCGAGTCCTTGACGGCGCCGCGCAGCCGCTGGATCGTCTTGTCGTCGTACCAGCCAAGCCGCTGGTCGCACCGCCCCCCGCGCGGCACCGGCGTCTCGTGCACCAGCTGCTTGATCGCCTGCGAAGAGGGGCCGAGCAGAGTCCGCGCTTGGCTCGCCGGAGGTGGGCTGCCAACTGCACAAGCTGCGTGCTCGCCTCCCCCTTCAGGTCGCACAACTGCAAGTACACGACCCTCTGAGTCGGCAGCTGGCGGTCGTCGGGCGCAGCTCCGCCGCCGCCGCTGCCGCCGCCGCCGCCTCCGCCCGCGCCGCCCTGGGGTGGCTTCTGCGGCGCCAGAGGTCGCAGCCTGCGCGGGAAGGCGACGTCTGCCTTCTCGCTCTTGCGGGGCACGAGCGAGTCGAGCTCGGTCGGGAGGCGCAAGTCGAGGACCTGGAAGAGGCGCGCGATGCGGGGAGGTACGGGGAGAGATGGGGAGATATAGCTCAAGGCGCAGGTCGAGGACCTGGAAGAGGCGCGCGTCGGGCGTGTGGCGCGGGTCGTACCCGTACGCGATCCAGCAGTTTCGCCTGTTCATGCACGCGCGACGCCGTGAAGAGACGCGGCTCGCGCCTCCAGCCGCTCGCGGCGCCAGCAGTTGCGCCACGGCCCCGAGCTGAAGTAGTAGCCGAGCTGCGGCAGCAGGAAGCGCAGCTTGTCCTCGCTGCGGAGCGGGTCGGCCGGCAGCGACGCCTTGAGAGCGCCGCGCGACCAGATCGGCCGCTGCTGGAAGCGAGCGCGCAGGAGGGTGTAGAGCGGGTCGGCGGCGTCGATGGTGGCGCGGATCGGCTCCGGAGGCCCGCGGGGCGCGGCGTCGCTCGCAAAGCCAACCGCGCGGCCAAAGTGCATCCGGCGGCCCTGCGGGGCGGCCCTGCGCCGCTTTGGCGGCGGCGCCAGCCGCGGCGCAGCCTGAGGTGAGGCGAGGCGAGGTGGGCTTCTCCAAGGTGAGCTTCTCCGCGCGCTGGTGTGGCGTGGGGCAAGGGCCGGCGGTCTCCGCGTCCAGGAGCCGGCACGGCGCTCAAAGTGCAAGGCCCGGTGCACGTGGGTGAGCGGAGCCCGTGCGTGCGTTTGTGCGTGCGCGTGCGTTGGCGTGTGTGCATGTGTGTGTGTGTGTGCGTGTGTGTGTGCGTGTGTGCGTGTGTGTGCGTGTGTGTGTGCGTGTGTGTGCGTGTGTGTGTGGTCTGTGTGGTGTGCGTGCGGCGCAGCCTGCTCTTGCGCCGACTATCAACCGGCGAGGCCATATCTCGGCAATCTTGGCTATATCTCGGCCACATCTCGGCCACATCTCGCCTGCTGTCTCGCGGCGAGGCCGGGCCGGCGCGGGAGCAGGTCATGCGGCAGGTCGCTGGAGAGGAAGCTCGACGGAGGGATGGAGAGCGCGTACCCCGCCAGAGCGTGAGGGATCGGCACGCCCTCGCCCGGTGGAGGCGCCACGGCGGCTTGTGGCGGCGGCGCGCCCTCTCGTGGCTCAGAGGAGGCCGGCGGCGGCGCGGAGGTGGGCCCGCCGCCGCCCACCGCCGCCGCCGCCGGCGGCGCCTGCTCCCACGGCCGCGAGAGCGCCGAGATGAGCGCCGGGCTCGAGACGTGCTGCAGGTCGGCGAGGCCAGAGAAGCGAACGCTTTGCGAGAGAGCGCCGACCACCTCGGCCTGGGCCGGCCCGGCCGGCTCGCCGTCGCGGGCGCGGCGCCGCCGCACTCGCAGCAGCACCGCCGGTCGTGCGACCCGCTCGCCGTACAGCGGGTGCGACAGCGGGTCCGCTGGCCGGAGCGAGCACTGCAGGATGTGCGGCGGGTTGGCAAAGGCGCGAGCGACCTCGCGCGCGCCGCCGAGCGAGGCGACGGCGCGTCGCGAATCCCGCACCCAGCACGGGTGCTCGACAGCGACGAAATCGCGGCGCGCGGGCGGCATGCCGACCTAAGAAACGCTACCTCAAAATCCCGCAGTCAGCTGTCTTCCTCCCTTTTCGCGTCTGTTTTCTTTCTTTCAGCTGTCTTGCGAGAGAGATCCCCTGTGCCCTGTGCCCAGCCCTCTCCGCGCGGCGATGCGCCCTCCCCCGTCGCTTTTGCAGAATCCTGCAAAGGTGGGGACGTGTCTGTCCTCGACCCAGCCCTAGCTTGGCCTTGGGATGTTGCTGCTGCTGCTGTTACGTCTTCGGTCCCCGCGGGAAGCCCCGCGCATAGGACAACAACGTCTGTCCCACACACACACAGACGCGCACATACATCATGCTCGGGCACACCCCACAGTGTAGTGGTGGTGCTTGGGATGTCCGTTGTATTTATTTATTATGTTTCTCGCTCCAATCAATGTTCCTCACTCCCTTGATCCGTGCATGGGAGCTCACTTAGCAAAGCGCGTCACAATGGCTTCCTTCTCTCCGAGCGTGCCCGGGCGGACGCGGCATGTAGACGTCGCAGGCAGCTGAGCTCACAGAATGCCAATACCTGAGTACACACCCACCTCCAGGTGTGCGCTGAGCGCCTGCCGGTCGATGTGACCTCCTTGCATCACAGCGAGGGCAGGTCGCTCAGCGCCGGGCTCCTAAGCCACGGTCCTCAGCGCCGGGCTGGAGCGGGCCACAGCTTGAGCTGTGGCCGCCTGGCATTCCCGTCGTCCTGCGTTGACCCTCGATACTGGCGGGCAGGAGCAGCATCGAAGCGCTACGTTTAGCGTCCAGCTTGACGGCAGCACAGCTTTGCGCCGCACTTAGTGCGTCTTCTCAGATGGCGTATCGGTGTGACCGATGCTTTGCGCCACAATATGATGTCTTCTCAGATGGCGAGCCGGACGATCGCGGTCCACGAGCACTGCCTCGCGCCGCCACAAGCGTTCACCTCCGTCACTCCCATTGACCGCACTGGCACTTACGTAGCCGCACGTTCTGCCGTCCACTCGTTCATGTCGTGTGCATCGGCGGTGGATGGAGGCGTCGTCTGCGACTCGGTCGCGTCCGGCAAATGGGCGCTTGCTTTCTTGGACCGAACATTCGGTTTCAGCAGATGGGTGGTGATCGTCATCTGTCTGCTCTGCTGTGCTTCTCGCTCGTGCGTCCTTGGAACTCGTATATGCCGAACCCGACAAGCTGGGTGGAGTGTGGTGCCTTGAAGAAACGCGTGGCAGCTGCGGCTGGCGCCGGCGGGAACTAAGAAGAAGGGAAAGAAGAAGAGCAAACTCAGGAAACATAAGTAAGTGGCTACTACTTGCCCAGCCAGTCCTCCCAGCCGCGCCACTCCTCTCTATACACGAGATCGGGCCGCGCGGGCAGCCGGCCCGTATCCACGGCCGCCGCCGCCTGGCGCACCTTCAGTGCGTGGCCAGAGTTCCACGCCTCGGCGCTGACTCGCTCCAGATCGGCGCCCGCCTTGCGCAGCTCCGCATACTGCTGCTCGCTCTCCAGGCCGAGCCCTCGCACCACCTCGCGCGCCGCGGCAAAGGGCAGCGTCACGCCGAGCCAGTCCTCCCACCCTTGCCACTCCGCCGACCACGCGACGTCCGGATCTTTCGGGAGCCGGTAGGCGCCGGGGCAGTCGTAGTCGTCCCACTCCTCTCGCGAGGACATGCCCATAGCTCGCGCCATCGAACGCGCCTCCGCAAACGGCAGCTCTGCCAGCACGCGGCGTGGCGTTCGGCCGGCAAGCATGCGCGGGGCATGCGCGCACCGCCCAGGTCGCACCGCGCCGCCGCCACTGTCTGCGCCGCGCACCATCCCGCCGCGCAGGCGCGAGAGCGCGTCCGCCTTGGCCTGCAAGCACCAGCCGGTCCGTGCCGGATCGGCTTCACACCAGTGGCCGACAAAAACCTCTGGCCGCTCGCCGGCCTGGAGGTACTGGCCGAGTAACTCGGCCCAAAAGGACTGCGCCCAGAAGGTTGCCATCACCGGCTGCACCTCTCCCGACGCCACCTTGGATTCCATCGCGGCGTTGGCAATGTCGGTGAAGACGTTGATCGGCGGCATCGAGCCGGGTGACACGCGACCGGCGGCGACGAGCGCGACGACGCCAAAGTTGGAGGCCAGCAGGAGGGCGAGTCCGGCGTAGAACTCCCACGGCTCGACACCCGAGGGGATGGCCGAGGCGCGGAAAAAACCCTTCTTTCTCTGGTCCTCGCCGGCCCAAGCTCGGACGGCCCTCGCGCGCGGTCTCGCACCGGAGCAAACGGGTAGCGCGGAGGCCGCAGGCGCCGCGAGAGCGCCCAGCCCGGCGGCGGCGAGTGAAAAAAAAGGGTACATAATGCCCTGACCTGCCCAGCCTGGCCGCACCCGCCGCTGCGTACACCCCGGGTCGAGTTAATGCGCATTTCTTCTCTGCACTGTAGCCCTTGAGAAAGAGCTTGCATTATGCAAACCTGTGCCTGTGTCCTAGGAAGTAGACTGGGAGGGGTACTCCCATAGGCAAGAGGAGGTCTGGAGAGGCCCACAGCGGTCAGGAGAGGCCCCAAGAGGGTGCTAGATGAGAGTCAGCAGAGCGCGCCGTCTCGGCGGCTATGGGCAAGTGGGCTGAGAGACAAGAGGGATTTTTCTCTCGGGCGGAAGATGAAGCCCCGACTTCTAATAAATTGTGCCAGGCGTAGCCGGGGGCGGGCAGCACGGAACCGATTTTTATTTGGCGCAGACCCATCCTTCCTGAGTCACCAGAAAATCCCAACGACCCTTGAGCGGAGGCCACCTTGGCCGCTTTTGCGGCCTCTCCGGAGAATCTGGCAGAATGGCTACCATAGCCTAGCATGGCACCCGCGGGCAAAGCTGCCCCCAGGTCCCTAGAGTCCATGGGCATTCCCAAAGGATATGTCAGCGTGAGGTGAGGGCGCAACGGTGGGGGCTCTCACCAGCCCCGCAAAGTCGGGCCTCTCGGGCGGCGGTCAGAGGGGCGGGCAAGGGCACGTGGGAGAAGGGTCAGTGCGGCCCACAAGGTGTGAGCTACCCCCTCTCCTAGGTGTGGCTCTACAGCCCTTGAGGCCCTCTAGACTTCTATACCAACAGCTTGGGCAGAGGTCCTCGGGGTGGGGGGAGAGGGAGCTCCCCTTTTCAGACCCCCCCAACCGCGCATTAACTCGTCCCCCAGTGTAGCACTAACGCTAGCTATGACAGAGGGAGGCACAAGAAATCTAGGGAGACACCTATGCTGATTTCTTCCTGCCGCCTGCGGGTCGGTCGGTCGGTCCTAGGATTCGAGGTTTTTAGGGGGTAGGGTATGGTAGGGTCAGGGCCCTGGCACCGCGACCATACCCCCCCCACCCGCACACACGCATGCTCCACGCACGCGCAGCAAGCGAGACCGAGAGGCCGTGGAAAACGCTTAAAATGGCACAGATTTACGATTTTCCGCGCGCTGCGCGCGCCGAGCACGGCCACGGCGCCAAAAAAGTGCTTGCCGGAGTCCGTTTTCAGTGGACGGACCCGGAAAAATTTCTTCGCCCGCGCTGGCGCGCGGGCGGTCGGTCGGTCGCATATGTGCCACGGTTTTTTTGCCGTGCCTCCCTCTGGCTATGAGGGGGTTGTTTCACAGGGGGGTGGGGGGGTTGGAGGTGTGTTGCATGTTCCCTCCTGTCCCGTGTCTCGCAGAGGCTCGCAGAGGCTCGCAGAGGCTCGCAGCGTGCCCTCTCTTCCACCCAAAGCGCTTCCGGCGTGAAGGCGACGCCGCTCTGCTTTCTTTCGCCCCGCGCGCCCGTGGACACCGCAACGCTAAGGTCCGGCTGGGATCTAAGGGGGGGGCACTGGGGGGGGGGGGTTAAATTCTTTTTCGTACGCCTGGTGTGTGTGGCGCCAATGACAAAAACAAACACCATGCAGAGCGCATCTCTCTCTCTGTTGTGCGAGGCGTGAACCGCGCCATTCGCTCTCACCTGGCAACCCTGTCTGCACGTCTCGCGCGCGCGTGAACAGGGCTCCAGGCCCCAAATGACGTGTGAGTGTTAGAGTTGTTTGGTATTGCTAAAAATATCTCTCTCTCCAATGACTCGTGCAACGCCGGTCTCAGACCTGGATTCTAGTTTCCAGAATGGCATTCTTCGAAGTAGAATGGGCGCCGCAGCGGCCCGTAGCGGCGCCCCCTGCGTGCCCACGGCCACCCCGGGGCCATGGGACACCCCCCCGGCCATCGGGGATGCCTGGTTCATCCATTACCCCATTTATACGGGCTGTGTTGCGGCGCGCCTCGAGACGCGCAGCGCAGCGCAGCGCGCAGACCACAAAACAGATCAGAAGACGGCCGTGGCGACACCCGCTCTGGCGACAGCCCCGCAAAAGGCACTCGCTCGCCGGCAAGGACTACGGGTAGCACAGGCGGCAGCAGAGGTGGCGGTCCGGGTCGCAGCGCGCGTAGCAAGTCGGCCCCAGCGTCACGGGCGTCGGGCCAGGAGCCGGCTCGACGAGATCGACGAAGAGGACGAAGAGGAGGAAGACTACTCGAACTTGGACGAGGACTCAGGCGAGGCGCAGGACTCGGAGACCGGACAGGGAAGCGAGGACGATGACTAGGTGACACGAGGAGTAGATGTGACACGAGTAGTCCGCATTTCGCGCTATCTGCGGTCGGCTCTCTTTCGCCGCCCGACCCTTTCGCCCGCCCACCACTTGCGAGCACAAATCTCACACCTCCACTGCCCTCGCCACAGGCGGCGACGGACGGACATCCAAGGCTTGAACGGCGGCAGCGGCTCAACGGCCGCCGGCGGCCGTCGTGCGTGTGCTTTCGCCATACGTGGCGCACCCCCCGGCGTCTGCTCTGGTTTGGGGGCGGGGGGAGGACTCTCATTTGCGGACTGTTGGGCTCTCTGTGTTGAACTGGGGCTTGTGCGCGAACCCCACCAGTCTGGCCGAGCGGCACGCCGCCGCTGGGGGCGTGAGAAGGCCGTGGGGGACGGCGGCGGACCCCATTCTTCGATACAGAATGGGCCCTCACCGCGGCCCGTCTGCTGCTGAAAATGTGGCATGTTGGGGGCTCTCCTGTGTGACTCCTCTGGCTCGCCGCGTTAAAGTGGCGCCTGTGTGTGACCAACCCCAACCCCGGCAAGCGCCCCCCGGCCGCTGGGGCTGCGAGGCGGCCGGGTGAGCGCGCGCGAGACGCCATTCTTTGTAAGGATGCCATCCTATAATATAGAACGGCCAGGTAGGGCTGAGACCGAGAGAGGCCACAGAGGCGGCACAGAGTCAGAGTCAAACCCTCTGTGCCGCCAAGCCTGGGGTCCGACCCGTCCTCGGAGGGGGGTATGAGGCCTCAAAGAAAGAAAGAAAGAAAGAAAACAGACAACCCAAGGGAGGGATGGGAGGACGGCACGCCGCCACCACACAGGGATTTTAAGGAGAGGTGTGTGGTGCGCTATCCGTCGCCCACCCTAGGGAGTCTGCCTCTTCCTATCTCTCTTCGCAGTCTCTCGCCGCTTCTCGCTGGCTCGCTGCAACCTTCATGCCACCTCGCGGCCGTCCCACTCTCGTCGGTCTCTCCCTTGTCACTTCCTCCTCTGTCGCGTCGTTCTCTTCTGCCTCGTCCTGCGACATGAGGCCTCAGAGAGTGCACAATCCGAGCTGTGAATTTTTTTTGTCCGTACATTCCAAGAGAACGCTTTGAGCTTGGCACCGACGACACAGCCACAGCGACACCAATGAGGATGGCGGTCTTGCATGTGATCGGCGCCTCGCTGCTCCTTCCCGCAGTCGCGATGCAGCACGTTGTCGAATGGCACGACTTATATGATTCCGGATCCGAGTCGCACGAGGTACACTACACCGTCGGCGACTCGGTTATGTTTCGCTGGAAGGGGTCATTGGGTCATAACCTCATGAAGGTCTCAAAGTCGGCGTACACGAACTGTGAAGACGAGAATGGCGCCATGCTCAACGATGGGAGTTCCACCGGCCAGATCGAGCAGGTCGTTGACTTCCCCAAGACCGGTGAATTCTACTTTCTTTGCTCGGTGAACCGCCGCGGCGATCCCGCTGCAATTCGCTTCCCTCTTGGACCTGCCACATACCAGGCTCCCTACCCTGAACTCAGGTTGGCTCCCACTGCGCCAATAACCAAAAGATCAACATCACGATCGACCCTGACACGACGTGCAACTCTGCAAAGATGATGTACCCCTCAAAAGACGCGGCTGAGGCGAGGGGGAGCATGTGCGACCCACCGGTCAACGGATCGCACAAGATGGGGTCGTGCTGGATGCCCGGCGACTCGCATGGAGCCTGCGGCGCACTCGTGGCAGAGAGAGAGAGAGAGAGAGAGAGAGAGAGAGAGAGAGAGAGAGAGAGAGAGAGAGAGAGAGAGAGAGAGAGAGAGAGAGAGAGGGAGGGAGAGAGAGAGAGAGAGAGAGAGAGAGAGAGAGAGAGAGAGAGAGAGGGGGGGGGGGGGGGGGGGAAAAAAAGGGAGGGAGATGGAAAGAGAGAGAGAAAAAGGGAGAGGGAAAAAGACCCCAAAAGGCACCCCCCAAGATGAGGGACCCCTTTCGGGCCCTAGGGGGCAAAAAACACCCCCCGGGGGATAAAAAAGCTCCGTGTTTCGCGGGGGGTTCCTCCCCCGCCAGACATTTTTTTTTTACGGCGCCTTCCCTT